TCCAGATGGCCAGTCAGAGATCACTCCCAGGTCTGTGCCGGTCAGTAGGGAATCACTCTTGATTCTCTCCAGCTGACCAGTCCGCACAAACTCCTCAAGATTGAATAATCACCTGCCTTATTTTATTCCAAAGTCCTTAACAACTGAGGCATTAATCAGCAACTAGAAACACTACCAGACGACAGATTCAATAAACCATTGGTGCAATGTTGTAATTGGTTACCAGACAAACAAAAGTGTGTTCGCATCAGTAGTTTCCCCCTGAGCTGCTCATTTTATAAACGCCACACGTTCCAGATACAGCGTCTTTAAATATTTAGAGTATAATATTATATACAAATTCTGAGAATCGGGATGCTCATTTTTCCAAGCTGAGTGTCCCCTCAACAGCGCGCTGTCCGCCCAGACTCGCTTGACTTCTCCTTACTGGACACGCTTTGTGCTTGTTCATTTCCCTGCTTCGGGTTGTGTTTCGACTTGCGTGCAAACTGGATTAAGTGTGGGTACTACAAAATGGTTACCGATGCAAAAATAACATTGAAACCCCAGTCTGGAATACAGGTGCTGCCCTGGAACCCCAAAGATCCATAAGGAATATGTTCCGAATTCATAATCGACAGGTTCATTCCACCCTAAAATACAGTCCATTTAAATACGCTTTGAGATCTCGATGACAGTAACGATAGTAAAGCATTTCCCCTTTACGGAGTTTAGAAGAAATGAATAAGATATTTTTGTGCATAACTGCAAGTCGTGTGTTTTTGGTAACGTTATTATAAACGCTCATTCTACGTTAACCACCAACAGCTCCGTCACGAACTTCACAAGAATATTTGTTCATGCGGATTACTCAACTCGCCTCGTTCCAACATGTCTATTTTAATACAGGTGTGTAGGAAACGCTCCCTTTTCAACAAATAATTATTTTACAGGGACAAAGGTATTCAAAGACCTAACCGACCACCGAAACTTCAGGGGTGACTTATTTTTTTCTTTCGTGTTCTTTTTTTTTAAATCAATTAATGGTACGTCGATAAAGAAACAGAGCTTACTGCCAAATGCGTTTCCAAAATACTGCACAAGCACTTCCTTGTCCAGGAACAGCAAAAAAAAAAAATCACAAAATAATTATTTTACTGTGGTTACTTACTGCTGTTGCGTTCATTCGAAGCGTCTTTTCCTGAACTGGTTTGCTACGAAAAACGTTTATTTTCTTTTATATTTTACTGGAAATAAAACCATATAACTTACCTACTTCACAGAGTTACAAAGTAAACAGAAAACTTCCTGTTACTCGGAGGGGAGGGAAGCATCCTAACTTGTTAGCCCGATGGACACGCCCCTTGAAACTAATCCGGCCAATCATAACTCGAGCTGTCAAACGGTGCCCAATAGTTGATAAAGATACTCGTAAGCGACGCCCACCGCTTTTTTTTTCCCCAGGAAGAGATTGACAAGGTCGACGTGTAATCGAATTAAGAGTTTAAAAATGTATGTCCAATAAGGTAACGATAAATTGGTGAATCAGAATTATGTTAAAAGGAAAGGAAACGGCTTTTAGGATTACGTGTTTTCTCAGAGTCTTTTTTTTTACTTAATACTATCACAAGTTTATCTCGTTTTTCTTTGGGATCTTCGAA